AATTTTTGTAAAAATTTCAGAAATTTGTTTAAAAAAATTATTTTATTTGCAAAAAATACTTTTTTGTTAGGACAAAAATTTTCAACGAAACAATTAGGGGCCGTTCAAAAAATACGTAACGTTATTTTTCGGAAATTTGGACCCCCCCCCCCCCCCCTCCCCCTATGTAACGCAATGTTGTATACATTAGCGTCATTTTTTCTGCTGACCGTAACAAATAGCTTGACCCCCCCTCCCCCCTAAAGCGTTACGTATTTTTTGAACGGCCCCTTATATGTTCTCACAATATAGAACATTCCAACAAAAAACTTTATTTGAATGAACTAAATTTCTTGAAGAGAAACAAAAAAAAATTTTGTAAATTTTTTTGAATAACAATTATTTTGCTCTGATGATAAAATATCTAAAGCAAAATTTTTTTTGATAAACAATTTTTTGTTTTGATAATAAAATATTCAGACCAAACAATTTTGTTTGAATGAATTAAATATTTTATTTAATCACATGTTTTGCTGAGACGACAAAATAAATTTTTGTAAACTTTCTTAAGCAACATGTTTCTTTGGAATTTTTTTTTAATCAAAATTAATTTCTTAAAATTTTTAAATTTATTCTAAAATGAAAGAGAATGGAATATAATAAATTGCTCTATATCAAATAAGATTTTTTGAAATTTTTAAACTTTTTATCAACTGTTCACTGATAAAACAGTTGCCTTGATTTCTATCCTTTCATATTTCTTCAGTCGATAAATCATTAAAATTTATAAGTTATTTCAAAAATGAATAATTAGATGGACTTTATTTAAATATTTATTTTATAACTCATGTGAATAAAAAATATTTTTTAACACTCTTCTAATTTTTTTCTATTTTTAATTTATATTTGTTTTTACTTTCTTTACTTTCTTTCTTTTTACTATAATTTCTGTACTGTAATTTTTAAGATTTTAAAATTTTTAATATCGTCCTCTAAAGAAAAGGAAAACTAATAGAATTTCGATTTCAAGAAAATATAAAAAGATTCAAAGGATAAGTAGAATTAAAAATTTCTATTCCCTTATTTTCCTTTCTATGAAATATTTGTAAAGAAGTAAAAGTCATCAATGAAATTAAAATTCGATGTTGCGATCTATAATGAAAAAAAAACAAGTTTCTTTCATGATTTCTTTTCAAAATAGAAAAGTTATATTCAATATTTTTTTTGTTCATGAAACATATCCAGCTCAAAATATTATGAGCCAAAAATGTTCTCAAGTGAGTTTGGAAAAAGTCACCTAATTACATTAGGGCCCAGGGAAATATTATTCCACAAAATAAAAACTCGGCAGGAGATTTCAAGCGGCCAATTTCTTTATGGGTGCCTTGTCGGCTTCTTTCACAAAACTAAGAATGACAAAGCAAAAAAAAATGCATTTCTCCTATTTTGTCGAGTGAAACGAAAAATTTGTTTATTATTTTCTTGAAGGTGAATGTAATTGCAAATTCTTAATTCAAATAATAAAATAATTGTATATGAAATATTAATCACGTCTAAAAAACTATAATAATTATTAATTTATTTACTTTTTACATATTTATAATTTATAATACACGGAGAGAGATTCTGTTTTAATATTTCGTATTATTATATTAGTATTTAGTAAAACCGATTGCAATTTGGGGAAATCATGTACATTTATGAATTAATATTACCATTTTTAAGAAAGTTTATAATCAAATTATTACTTTGTATTATTCTGAAGTAATAGAAATTGAAATAGTCAATAAGAAGTTGTAATATTATAAGTAAGAAAGTATGCAATAGTAAAAAGTATTACCAGATGATTATACTAAATACTATCGAAGAATTACATAAGTTGTTAATTTAGTTACGAATAGTATTATCGACTATAATAAAAATTATGACCAGCCTAGTAGCAGGCCATAGCAGGCTATGGGCTGACGTCAGGCTGACGTAGAGCGGTTACGAAGCTGTCCGAGATTAGCCGAATATTTCAGTCGAGCAGTTCCGAAATTATCCGAGTCAAACCTCGTGGCAACATGTGCACGTTGTGTTTACCCCAAAATATTTTAATTTGATGTGTCAAAATGTGTCGGAATTGGGTGAACAATTTTATTTTGTTCATTCAATAATTTTAATCGACAATGAAGATTTCCTAATTGTAGTAAAAGGCATAGTCCATTGTCTTTTAAATGAGCATTTGAGAGCATTCAAAATTTACACGGAAAGAAATTAATCTCTAAATTAGAGATTTAATATGAGATTTAGGCATAAACTATCACTGGAATCGGATGTGTGATTTGAACAGATCTGTAAAACTGAAATTTAGAGTTATATCTAATCCGCATATATTATCAGTGTGAAGAATCCGTATTTTTATGCCTGAAAATGATATTAGAAATCTCAAATTTTATGATTTATCACAATTTAGAGTGAGAATTATTCAAAGAATGTATATTTTTCTTTTAGTATGAACTTATAAAAAAATCCATTGACAATCATAAAAAATTGGACATTTTTTGAAGATAATATGAATTTTTTATTATTTCATTTCTTTATTTGAATCAAATTATCTCAACATCACACAATATAAACATTCTTTTTCTATTTCTTAATAAAAAAACATGGTTTGGTACAACTTTCAATATAGGTTAGGTTTTCAAGTGTCAAACGAAAGTTTAACCTGAAAATACTAATAAATAAAAATATGTCCCACACGTGATAACGCGAAAAACATTTGTAAAATATGGAAAGTGAAAACTGGGAATGAAACTGCATTTAAAATATAAAATTAATACTTAAATAATTAAAATGGTTTAAATATTCTTTGACACCCTGCTAAAAATAAAATCAGGAATAATGAAAAAACGTCAGAAATTTTGATGTTTTGTGACTACTTTGACGTTTCCTGAAGAATTTTGATGTTTTGTGACTACTTTGACGTTTTCTGATGCTTTTGGTTAATTCTGACTACAAGGTTTTTTATGCTCCTACTGTTGAATACTGATGTTTATGGATTGTGATTATTTCTCATTGAATTCATTTTTTTAATTTACAGTCCCCCACCGAAAGATAGTTGGTAAATGTAAAGTACCATAAAAACTTGAAATTTGTGCGTAGCCCTTTTTTCACAATAGAATTTTGGGTCTATTGTTACGCGCTTCGGGTCTTCAACCTGATTTTTATTGCTCAAAAGTTTTGCAATTTTAATATTTCAGGTGAAATGAATATAAATTCAGAATCTAGAAATCTTCACGATTGCAAATATCTAAAATTTATTTTAAAAAACATTTTTTTAAGAAAACTGTAACGTATCTCGAAAACCGTAATTGATAAATAAAAACTGATATCATTTTTGAATTTAAGTTCTAAAGGATATATTATTGTTTATATAACAAGAACATATTGTGAGAAGAATTCTAAGTCGATGAAAAACAAGTATAATGTTTAAATAAATATAAACATAAACAAATAAAAAGATTTCCCTTCAATTTTATGACGGTCAGTTGACCTTTTTCCAGGTAAAAGAGGGTGTCGACTTTGTATAAAAAATCTGACTACTTTTGAAGTTTTCTGATGAAAAATGACACAAGCCTGACGTTATGTGGCTGCAATCGTAACAAATGCAGTCTCAGAACGTCAGAAATTCTGATGATTTTTTTGTCGTTTTGTGACTTTATTTTTAGTAGGGCAATGATGAACTTAAAACGCAATGTAATTCACATCAGATAAGTTGTGAAATTAACAAATCTCTAAATCAGAGATGTGAATTTAATTGTGACTATAATGTCTACTTTAGACATACTTACATTCCATTGGATTTCAAATTAATATTATTTCAAGTTTAGATATTAATTTTTTTCCGTTTACGAAAATGAATTAGGACATTGGAAGGTATTTAAAAAAAATGATTTAAGATATGCTGCATTTTCTTATGCCAATAAATTAAATGATGGGTTTTTTTATATAACGAAAAATTGGATATAATTTCAATAGAAATCATTTTCCAGAAACAAACAATTTTAAAAACAGTATTATGATAAACATTTCTGAATAAAATTGTGACCCAGCATACAAAAGTATGTATTTATAATGTAAAATAAATTAAGAACTTTTTTAAACAAAATATGGAGAAAATATCACTTTCTCACAAGTTCAGAAAATTTCTCGAGTTTAGTATATAAGGAAGTTGAGAACTGTATCTCCCAATGTACAGCGTGCGTGCGTGCGTTATTGCGTTTATTTGTATTTAAGTTAAGTTTATATGTATGCGTTTATAGGTTTTAACATAGATCTCCGAAATTGTATATAGTTTGTGTTTGTATAGTATGATGTATAGTATGATGCTTGCGTTAGCTCATTGGTATGTGTGCGAAATACTTTCGAAACGATAATTCTATCCTCCTCCTTCCTACGTCTTTTTATTTCCTGTCCTTTTCGACTCACTCATAATTTTTAGTATTGACTATATTAAAGATTGAAATATGTATTTTATTCTAAAATTTAAAAGAACTATTTCAATTTTTCTTATTCTTTCGATACTTTCACGGACTGCGATTTTAATATAGTCATTTTTAAAAATTATAATTCTTTTATTAAATTGTATTACAATTTTATTAATTTTTGTAAAATATATCAAGGGCTGCCTACTAATATGCACAATATTAATTTTTAATATAAAACACGATTTCCCTAAATTGAAAAAGAATATATTAAATTCTATTGCCAATTTTAACAAATATTAATACAAAATCTCTCTCCGTGTAATAATAATTATTCTATTATTTAAAAAGATTTAAAACAGAAAAATTGTTTCTTAATAAATTAATTACCATTAATAATTACATAATAAATATTAGGTAATAATTATTATTTTTTACGTGCTTCATATTTCGAATATATTAATAATAATCTAGATAAAAATGTTTAATCACTTAGAATTGTAAACAACTAAATTAAAAATAATTTGTTAAAAAAATAGATTGAATAAATAACCCTTTTAAAAAATCAGAAACATGTATTTCGATTAGAAAATTATTCGTTTAAATTCAATAATGTTTTAAATACTGGAAGACGATTTACAAATGAAAAGAAAGTACAAACAAAAAAATTATTTGCATTAATGCAATATAATTAATCATCATTTAAACATATAGTAAATTATTAAAAAATGTATTACCTTACTATATTAATAGAAAAAAAATATCTTTGCTAACCACTTAAAGATAAGTTGAAGCAACATTTTTTGATTATTTACAATCTGATTTAAGTTTAAATTGTAGAAAAAAAATGAAAATAAAATTATATGAAAAATAAACTTAGTATCCTAAGAAACAAACCTCTTACGCTTAAATATAAATGCTACGTGTATAAAATATCGAAATAACTTTGATTTTTAATTATTATCGAACATTTCGTGATCTAATGGAATCAGTTTTTTTCGCTATTGTTTTTACTTGTATTGAAGTGTCCACTAAAGTACCCGAGCCATTATCATTTATATTTCTTGGACTTGCAACACCCACACGTCCCTCGTGTCTAATTACAATTTTTTTCTCACACGATTTCAATAAATTCTTCATCCTTTTCCCTGAATTTTTAGACGTTATCTCGCAATCATCATTTATCTGTAAAGAAATTCAAATGTATTTAATAACAATTTTTATTAATTTGTTAGTAATTTACTATTATTCTCTATAATAATAATAATAATAATAATAATAATATTAATAATAATAATAATAATAATAATAATAATAATAATAATAATAATAATAATAATAATAATAATAATAATAATAATAATAATAATAATAATAATAATAATAATAATAATAATAATAATAATAACAGGCCTCATATTGTCTTTAAGGTGCAAAAAATATTTATTCATAAAATTATGTTTGAAAAACTTTTTACGTATTTTCTGATCAACTATTTAAAAAGAAAAATTTTAAACAGAAAATTTTAGGTGCTTACTTTCCCCTCTTGAGGAAAATCCAGCTCGATCTCGGTGTCTGATTAGATTAGAAACAGAAAATTTTCATTGTTTTCCGTGTGAAAAATAATTTTATCTTTGATCGTTCATTAATTATACGTCGTAAAATTGTTCCAAATTAGTCATTTTTTGAATGATCAAAAAAATTTGTCACTTTTTAAAACTATTGTTTAGAGCTCAGCGCTTGGAAAAATTTTTGAGTTAAATAAGAAAAAAAAGTTGCTATAAAAATTCTTAAGATTTAAATTTAGAAAAAAATTTTTAAAAATCTAACTCAATAATAATTAGGGTCATTTGGGGTAAATGTAAACAAGGGGTAAATGTAAACAGTAGATATTTCATCTAAATTTACAAATTTAAAAATAAGTACGACGTCAATATTTTTACCTCAGCTCACCTACAAGATGTTCTGAGTATTAACAACATTTTATTTTGACAATTGGCAATGCCATAGTGTAAGTTATCTTTTAATGCAAAAAAGATTGAAAATTAAAGTTTTACTGTTTCAGTATTTTGTCTCGCATTTGCATAAAAATAAATTAAAAAATCAAACTAAAATTTGTAATTCTTCCTTATTAATGCCTTAACAAAAATTGACTTTGATTTTTGATTTTCGTCAATTTAGTTAATAAATAATTAAGTGTTTACATTTACCCCGAGAATTCGAAAACTCGGGGTAAATGTAAACAGAACTTGAACTACATTTTAAAAGAAAATAATTGAATAACTTTGCTTCTATTTGACAATTTCATTACTTTGGCAATGTAAAATTACATAGAAAAAGAAATTAGGTCTTCTTTCTTGTTAGTCGTTCTTCGTGTTAGTCAATTAGTCATAGTTTATGTTTGACCGCCATATTGGATCCACCATTTTGAAATTTAAAAATTCGAATTTAGATTCTTATTCAGCAACCTTAAAAACTTCTTTTTACCAAGTTGAATGAAAATCTATTAAAATTTGTTCAAGTTATTCAAGTTTTTACATTACTAATTTTGTAATGGTTGATTGTTTATTTTATATGATACATTATCAGTCAACTGGTTGATCTACTATACATCTACGAAGAATTTTTTTTCAGTTTTTCCATCCTTTAAAACAGTAGTATACTTGAAATAACTTGTTTCTTAAACCTCGCTTAACTACAGTGGTGTTTACATTTACCCCGAATTTTAGGAAAATTTCAAAATCTCGGGGTAAATGTAAACAGTCAGTTTTAGGCGATTTAGGTGCATCAATAATTTTTTGTACTTCATCAAATTTTTCTAGGGAAAAAGAAATCCGTCCGTTTTACCTTTTAATAAAAAAACTAATGTTTTTCGTGAAAAATAGATATTCCGTTTACATTTACCCCAAATGACCCTATAAGTTTTCAGAAATATTCGAAAATAAATTTTTTTTTTCTTATACATTTTAATGAGTAGAAATTTCATTTCTTGAGTTTAAAATGTTGTTTTATGTCAAATGCAGAATACAAACTGTTTTTTAGACTTAAATATTTGAAGATGTAACATATTTTTTAAAAATATGTTACAAAAAGATAACAAAAGAAGTTAAACAAAATAAATTAATATATACACAATAAATAATTTATATCTAATAAAATTTTGATTAAATTTCCTTCTCCAGGTCAGATTTCTTATTTTTCCAGGACATTTATATGTGTTGCCAAAGTTGCCACAATAAGTCAGGGAAGTCAAGGAATTCAGGGAAAAGTCAGGTATTTTTAATAAAAGTACTGGAAAAAATTAAATTTTTAGAATTTATAGGAAAGATCTGAATATTGGTGACTTTTTTGTTTGCCTTGTAAACTATGAACTTGCCAAGAATTCTAATACAAACCCTTCAATATTTTCTATTTTTGACAATAATTTCTTTTTAAATAACTTTTAAATAACTTCGCATAAATTCAATTCTGTTCAAAAATTTTTTTAAATTCTTGTCAAATATCAATTATTTTTATAAATAATAAGACTCTTCTCCAAAATTCAATTATTTTCAAAAAATTTAATAAAATTCTTGGCAAAATTTCAATTATTTTTAAAAATTTTCCTCATTTCAATTATTTTTGATATCTATTTTAATAAACTTTTCCAAAACAATTCTATTATTTAAACAAAATTTTAATAAAAATTTAACAGGAATTCAATTACTTACCAATTTCTTTTATAAATTTCTTCACATCAATTCAATTATTTTTAATTTTTTAATAAAGTTTCTCGAAAGAATTCAAATATATAAAGAAAATCAAAAAAAATAGTCTGAGAAATTCAATTATTTCGAAAAATTTAAATGAAATTCTTTTAATAATTGTGTTATTTAAAAAAAATGTTGACAAAATTCTTTGCAAGATTTAGTTCATTAAATTGCAATTTTAATAAAATTTTCCTATACAATTCAATTGTTTTCAATACATTTCTTCTTAAGAATTCATTATTTTCACAAATAATACATTTTTTATGGAAATTCAATTATTTAAAAGAATTTGAATAAAGTTCTTCGCTAGAAATCAATTATTTTCTTTTTTGACAATTCAATTATTTTGAAAACTTTTGATAAAATGTTTTATAAATTTGAAAAATTATAATAAAATCGGTCATAGAATACAATTATATTCGTAAAATACAACATTTTTTCTAGAAATACAATTATTGTCCAAAATGTTTGTAAAACTCTTCGAAACAATTCAATTATTTTCGTAAAAAATAAAATTATTCTAAGCAATTCAATAATTTAAGAAATCTTAATAAAATTCTTCCTAAGAATTCAATTTTTTAAAAATAAACATTTTCACAGGAATTCAATTATTAAAAAAAATTTTTTTTTCAATTCTTTGTCAGATCTCAATTATTTTCAATTTCTTTATTGAAATTTCTAAATGGAATTTAATTAATTTTAAAAAGTTTTAAAAAATTGTGCAAAAATTCAATTATTTAAAAAAATTTGAATAAAATTCTCGGGAAATTTTCTAATAAAAATTTATTAAAAAATGAATTTCACTTAAAATTTTAAATTATAATTGAATATTAAAAGCATTATAACGTGGATTTTTAGAAATAATTGAATTTTGAAAAGGGTTAAAATTAAAATCTTTGAAAATTTGAATTTTTAGTTACAATATTCTTATGAAATAAAATAATGATTTTATTACTTTCTCATCTTAAATTTTTTCATGTCTTATTATAGTATTCTCGTAAGTAATTGAATTTGAGAATCTTAATTTCTATAGAAAAATAATAATGATTAAATATTTATTTAAAAATGAAGTTATTAATGTTCTTGAGGGTCAGGGAAGAAATGAAAATTTTGTCTGGAAATCAGGGAAAAGTCAGGGAAAAACAAAAATAAAATTTGATGGCAACCCTGTGTAATATTATTTCATATTACGATTAAAATAATTTAAATTAACCTACTTGAACAAAAATATTTATTTTATTATAAAAAGAGTTAAAAATCAATATTTTAGATACCAGTTTCTTTAATCAAATGACAAATTAAAATTATTTTTTGATGGGTCAAAAAATTATTTTTTTAAATTTGAGTAAGATTTTTAAATTATTGAATATTGAAAAGCAAAATATGGAAAATTCAAGGACAAAAGTTCAAAATCCAGGACATTTAAGGACATTTCAGGACATTTTTTCAAATTCCAGGACATTTCCAGGAATTCAAGGACTTCAAGGACCAGTAGACACCCTGTATAATATAAAATAAATTTAAAAATTATAAATGACTAAAAAACTGTCAAAAGGGAATAGCGGTCTGACAGACCGGGGTTAGCACTGAGCGTGATTTTTCAACACTTAGCACTTTAAAGGTTAAAAGGTCGTGCTAAGATGATTTAATTTATAACGAATTAAAATTTAAACTCATGATTCCAAAGATTAGACTCAAATTTTCACCATTAAAATTTTTTATCAATAAAAATTATTGATTTATTTAGTCATTTAGCAATAAATTTAAATTTAAATTAAATTTATTACAATTTATAAATTATGACAAGGTCTGTGAAGCTGGCCGAACCACTTTTATAAAAATGAATTTAAATTATACCATTAATTAGTGCTCAATTAGTGCTATTTTTGTACCATATTGCCGAATTTAGTGCTCAATGTTTATTTAAAAAAAACAATGGTTCTGCTGAGTGAACGTTCCGCTGGCCGGACCATAACGAAAAACGCTTTAAAAACGCCAACAGAATATTTATAAATAGCCTATTATTTAGTGCTCAATTAGTGCTCAAAGATTAACAAAATAAAAAATTTTTTAATTAATTATTTATTTAAAAAAAATTTTTTTTCGATTGAGTGATTAATCCGCCAACCGCACCATTACGACAGACACGTCAAAAATCACAACAAAATATTTATCAATACCCTAAAATTTAGTGCTCAATTAGTCCCAGGTGCGAAAAGTTGGTCGGGCCATGGTCGCGCCGACCAAGTGGATAGTCGTGCCGACCTTGGCAACCAAAGGTCGGCCGAACTAGCGAATTGTAACACCCGCCGTCCAGTGGCTGACATGGTCGGGCCGACTATGGCTGCCAAAGTCGGACCGACCAGGGGTGCCAAAGTTTTGCCAACCATGTGAAAGAATGTCGGCTTGACTTTGGCAACCATGGTCGTGCCGACC